TTGTCAATTTTGGCTTTTGTTGCCATTGCTTTTGGTGTTTTAGTCATGAAGTCTTTGCCCATGCCTATGTCCTGAATGGTATTTCCTAGGTTTTCTTTTAGAGTTATTATGGTTTTAGGTCTTATGTTTAAGTCTTTAATCCATCTTGAGTTAATTTGTGTATAAGGTGTAAGGAGGGGGTCCAGTTTCAGTTTTCTGCATATGGCTATGCAGTTTTCCCAATGCCATTTATTAAATATGGAATCCTTTCCCCATTACTTGTTTTTGTCAAAGATTTTGTCAAAGATCAGAGGGTTGTAGTTTTGTGATGTTATTTCTGGGGCCTCTGTTCTGTTTCATTGGCTATTAATTACTGCCTCAATTTCGGAATTTGTTATTGGTCTATTCAGGGATTTGACTTCTTCCTGGTTTAGTCTTGCAAGGGTTTATGTGTCCAGGAATTTATCCATGTCTTCAAGATTTTCTAATTTATTTGCATAGAGGTGTTTATATTATTCTTTTATGGTAGTTTGTATTTCTGTGGGATCAGTGGTGATATCTTCTTTATCATTTTTATTGTGTTTACTTGATTCTTCTCTCTTTTCTTCTTTATTAGTCTGGCAGTAGTCTATTTTGTTAATCTTTTCAAAAAAACACGTCCTGGATTCATTGATTTTTTGAAGGGTTTTTCATGTCTCTATTTTCTTTGATTCTGCTCTGATCTTAGTTATTTCTTGTCTTCTGCTAGTTTTCATATATGTTTGCTCTTGCTTCTCTAGTTCTCCTTCGCTTATGAAGCTTAGTTTGGCTGGACATGAAATTCTAGGTTGAAAATTATTTTCTTTAAGAGTGTTGAATATCGGCCCCCACTCTCTTCCGGCTTGTAGGGTTTCTGCAGAGAGATCCGCTATTAGTCTGATGGGCTTCCCTTTGTGGGTAACCAGACCATTCTCTCTGGATGTCCTCAACATTTTTTTCCTCCATTTCAACCTTGGTGAATCTGTCAATCATGTGTCTTGTGGTTGCTCTTCTCCAGGACTATCTTTGTG